GGTAGGCAAAGAGAACAACATCCTACTGCTTGATAAAGTTAGCAACATAATTATTCAAAAGTGCACAGATTACAGAAAATGGGCGTGAGATAAAAACGACCAGAGAGACAACCCAAAAAAACTTCTATCTCGCTCTTCGAGCGAAGGAGATCCATGTGACGTTTTTAACACGTTACAACTTCTTTAGCATCATTAAAAATATTTTTTAATTGCATGCAAATAATTAATAATTACAATAAAATAATAAAAGGACTGGAAAAGGATAGTTAACACAGTCAATTAAGTTCAGTTTTAATTTGAAAAATTAAATAAATATTCAAAATATTCAATTAAAATCACTACTGAATTTAAGTTATTAGTCCATATGTAATTAGCACTTGTAAGTAACTAAAACACGTTGTGTCTATATAGAAACTAGAAACTGTGGATAAATATTATAAATATGAAAACAGTGATCAGAGGCGACGAGCGTGCCAACATTGTTTTTGACAACGCGATCATCTTATGGAGCTCCGTGGATCGTTCAAAGTACCTTTCGAACAGATGTCTAATAATGGTGGATTATTAACCACTAAGTGGTTAATAATCCACCATTATTAGACACTAACATTTATAACGCGCCCGCGGCCAACTTCATGGTGTTACTATTGTGTTACAGTGATGCGCGCGCATCTCGAAATTTCACTCACATGATTTTTTCATAACTCGCCCGCGGCCAACTTCATGCTGTTACTTTTGGGTTACAGTGATGCGCGCGCATCTAAAAATTTCACTCTCATCATTTTTTCATAACGCGCCTAAAGCCGCGTATCCACTAGAGGCAGCCTCGCGTCGAGCGGCCTCGACTTGAAGCAAATAGCCTCAGTTTGAGGCTGCTCGCTCTGAGGCAACGGCTACGGATCAGCTCGAGGCGTGTCGCCTCAGCTTGATCCGCTGGCAGCGCACTGCGCAGTTAAAAGCCAAAACGCGATGGCACCAGACGCGCGTCGAGTAGCTGCTGCTTTAATAGCAATAACCATTATTAAGAAAAAGAGGAGGCAACAAAAAGCTATACAAAAGAGGAAGCATCGCTGGTGGATAAAAGAATTATACCGTAATAAAACTATACATGGATGTGAACACTTGCTATTGGACATGACGTTGGAAGGTGGCGATAGCTTTCGAAATTTTAGCGACCGTCTCCATTAAACACACGGCTCGGACTGAGGTGCCTTTGAGCACGGCACAGAAACCGACAAAATATGGCTCGGCTCGCGGCGACGAATTTGCCTCGCGTCGCGGCGTGCCTCAGGTTGAGGCAGCGTCTCCACTTGCGCAGCCTCGGAGTGAGGCAGCCGCTCGACCCGAGGCTGCCTCTAGTGGATACGCGGCTTAAAGAAGTATAACTTCAAAAATATATTACAAAAAAATTACTGGTGCAGCAAAAAATGTCAGAAAAAAATAACAGAATATACGCCATAGCATTCAAATAAGATTTTGTTTTTATGTACATAACTACTAGCTTGAAATAAACTTTGATAAATTCTGATTTTTCTGCTTTCCATTTAACGACAACTCTCTATAATGCCATCAAATGTACAGTCCCTTTAGTTTCGTTATATAGAGTTTACACTGTACTGTGACACAGTAATATTATCTATATTATTACCGTGACTGTGATTCCAGGAAAACAAATGAAACTTAATTTCGTAGTCATTTTAGTCTAGCAAAATTTCTCTTTTAATATCTATGGTTTCTGTTGCTTTGTTGCAAGACGGAGGACTCCCGCTAAAACTCGAAGATGATCCTTTGGCAATACAGAATATAACACCACAAGAAGAAATAAATAGTTCAGATACAAGTGATATTGTGCAAGAGCCACAAGACGAAATAATAAATATCAATGAAGGTAATCAATATTCTTGTGCTTTTTTTAATTAAAGGACCATTGGGTATTTTGTATGGACGCCGACCCGAACCTGTGGATTTGTCCATTTGTATTCAAAAAGAGACAAAAACTTATTTTATTTGGGAAATCAATGGGGTTTAATTATAATTAATAATAACAGTTTCAGCAAATATGTGTTTATTTTCATACAAATATATATTTTTCTTAAATAAATGGTCTCTTTCTAAAACTGAAAAATTATTGACTTACAAATTCAATGTTTTACTTATTGTTTGTTTTCAACATACATATATGTTATTTGTAATGGACGAAACTGAACTGTGTTAAATTTTCAGGCAAAAGAAAAATATATAAGAAACATACATTTTCTGACAAATTCAAGATATTGGCATCAAAAAAAATTGAATACATTGAAATGCAGAAAGAACTTTTGCAAATACAGTTAATTGACGCAAAAGAAAAATTAGAGCATGATCGATTATTACGCTCTATGGAATTGGAAGATATAAAAGCTAATTATGAACACGAAACAAAGATAAGGAAGATAGAATTAGACCAATTAACAAATAAAATAACTAGAAATTATGAAGTGTTTTATTTTGAGCTAAACTAGTAAACTATACTTTTATAAAAAAAAAATGCGCGGGTGTGAGTGAACACTCTATTGGAACAAAAGACTATCACATTTGAAGCATTCTTTCATTCTCACTACATGAGGTATTTTTTTTAGAAAACCAAATAAATCCGATATTGTGTAAGTACTAAGAGTATGTAACAGATGAAAGAAGGCGCAATGTGTATTAAAATGCTATTTAGGTACCTAGAGATTAGTCCCTGTTAACATTGACAAATTAGCTCTTTTTGATGCGTGATGGAAAAATATTTATATACGTACCACCTGCCAAACAGCCAGCCAGGCGACTCGTTGTTTAATCTCCTTATTCCATAAAAAAGGTATCCTACCCACCAATCCGCACTGGGCCCAGGCCCTGCGGAATGATCCCAGTGCGTAACAGGCCCAAATCAGAATGGACCCAGCACGTACGCTCCCGGTCCATCGCCACCGCTCCCGATACATCGCACACGCTTCCGGTCCATCACTCACCAAACAAAACTTTGAACCAAGACCACATTAACAGCCATCAGTGGTCGCCCACTTCGCTGTCCATTTAGCTGCCTGTTCAGATAGCTGCTTCGTTAGGCTTTAAAGGTAAAGGACAATGGGCAAAAAACACCTAGCTCCGCCAACAATGTAATTAGTATGAATCGAAAGATCTACCTATGAAAACTTAACCATTTTTAATATGACACCGTAAAAAAATATCCTGGGGGCCATTCGCCTAACGGAAATGCTTAGGAAAACGCTAACGCTTTCGATTTCATTTTGTCGCGTAATATACAAAACTATTTTAATATACTTTATATGCAAGAGAAAGACTCAGGTGGTCGCATACCTTCTTTAAGCTAGAGAACGACTACATTGTAGATTCTCTTATTATAAGCTCACAGCCACACACACTCATTAATAAACAAAATAAGCTTGGTATAGCTAATCCATGTATGTCTCTGTTCATTGAATGACAACTGGTATTTGAGTGATATAGACAAAACACAGTGTCTAAGATTATTTCTTGGGGATGGGGGCATGGTTTTTTATAATAATCGTACATTAGAGCATCGGACTAACTAACTTTGGACTAACGTTATTCAATTTATTTTTTATTCTCCACCACCTCTCTGCCACCTCCTGATAAGTACTCACCTTGTAATCATAATCATGTCTCACAGGCGTTACTGGTCCACAGCTTGATATGACTTCACAAATATCCAGTGTTGGTGTAATATCACAATATTTCAGTGATGCACCCTCATCGCTCTACCACCCCTATAACTTCACACATATTCAGTGTTGGTGTAATATCACAATATTTCAGTGATGCACCCTTGTCGCTCTACCACCCCCTATAACTTCACACATATTCACTGTTGGTGTAATATCACAATATTTCAGTGATGCACCCTCGTCGCTCTACCACTCCCTTTAACTTCACACATATTACGGGAGTATAATACGCCGCACAGCTTACAATAGCTTACTATAGCAAAAAGTGTCGTGACAACTTTTCGTAAGAATTTTTTCCGTCTGCCCCCTTTCACAACGCGCGATAAGGAACTTCGTTCCAATAAAATCCCCCTAGGTTTGGTCCATCTGTACTCAGCCCAGGGGGGGATCATGATCCGCCCTTGATGCGAGTGTTCTGTGGGGGGCCGGACGCGCGACAGTGAGTGCCCGGCGGGGCGTCTTGGCGGGCGAGGCGTCGCCCTCGTACTGCGTGTTCTCTAGTCACGTCATATACAAAATTTAAGACCTTTGTATGCCAGCGAAAAACTCCGGTGGCCGCGTAATATTAAACTAATTCTTTCTTTAAGGTAGAGAAAGACTACATTGTAGATTCTCTATTATAAGCTTACAGTTTCACACACATAATAAACGAAAAATAAGCTTGGAATAGTTACTCCATGTATGTCTCTGTTCATTGAATGACAACTGGCATTTGAGTGATATAGACAAAACACGGTGTAACTTAGTCTAAGCTTATTTCTTGTATATTACTAAGGGGGACATGGGTATATATAGGTATATATAGGTCCTAAAGATAAGAAAATCTACCAGGACTGTATAATCCATTAGGAGTTAATGATGTCAAGGATAGTAGTAGCAGGTAGTAAGTAGTATAGTAGCATACTCCACCGTAGAAGTTAAACATAATCGCAAAAACGGATCAAAAAGAACGGAGAAAAGTACCAGGGCATCATAACACTGCGGGAAGCGGAATTTATATTTTATTCTCCTTTTTCGTCCAAAAGATACGAAAACCTACCAGCCCCCCTAGCATGACTAACAAAACGCGATATGATAAAGCGATTTATCGACACTCAACTGTCAAACTCCATTGTAGTTTGACAGATAATGTCGATAAATCGCTTTATCATATCGCGTTTTGTTACTCATGCTAGGGGGGCAGGACTCCATAATGCAGTAGGAATTAACACAATCGCAAAACTTGGAACCGATTTGTAAGAAAGCTGCGGAGAAAAGTACCAGGGCATCATAACAGTACGGGAGGCGGGGGGTTGATAAATGAAAGTCTTGAGGTAAAGTATTCCGTAAAGGCCTATATTATGGGTATGTTGTGTGTGTGGTCCGGTCGCGCGTCAGTGCGTGCCGGGCGGCGACTTGGCGGGCGAGGCGGGTTTTGGCGCGCTGTACGTCACGCCGTCGTCCTCGTACTGCGTGTTCTCTAGTCGCGTCATATATAAAACTAGATCTTTATATGAAAGAGAAAGAATCAGGTGGTCGCGCGATATTAAACTAATTCCTTCTTTAAGCTAGAGAAAGACTACATTGTAGATTCTCTTATTATAAGCTCACACAGCCTCTCACACACATTAATAAACGAAAAATAAGCTTGGAACAGTTACTCCATGTATGTCTCTGTTGATTGAATGGCAACTGGCATTCGAGTGATATAGACAAAACACGGTGTAACTAGTCTAAGCTTATTCCTTGTTATGATTTTATTGAAGTGAAACTTCTTTATCGGCGTTGGAAAAAAAAAATGGGTGCGTGTACTTATGTAGGCGCGTGAGAAGTTATCCTTCTTTGGCATCGTTTAAAATTAGTTTTTAATTGCATGCAAATAATTAATTACAATAAATTAATAAAAAGTCTGGAAAAGGACACAGTCAATAAAGTTCAGTTTTAATTTGAAAAAATAAATAAATAAGCAAAATATTCAATTTAAATCGCTACTGAATATAATTTATTAGAACATATGTGATTTGCACTTGTATGAAACTCAAACACGTATTCCGAATATACAAACTAGAAACATGTGGATAAATATTATAAACTAGCGGCCCGCCCTCGCTTCGCTTCGGTGTAGAGCTGAAGTGTAGACTACAGTTTTTGTTCTCAGGCTTGTATTATACACAATGACATTCATCTATGATTCTTCTTATACCTGCATGCAAAGTCTCAGCCCGATCGGTTTAAAATTGATAAAGTTTCATACAAACTTTCATTCCTTATTTTATCCCCTTGGGATTTTCTTTATATTTTTTTCCGTAAGAACCTTGTACAGAGTATTAGAAAACTACAAAAAACAGTCTCTGTTCTAAATTCAAAACTCGTAACTTTTCCCGATGTTTGTTGTACGTGTTTCCCGCGCTAGGACCGCGGGTGGCCGCGCATGCGTACGGTGCGGCGGGCGACGCGGTAATGGCAGCGCGGCACATGAAGTTGGTCGCTAAAGCGACCAACTTCATGGTGTTAATTTCTTGTGTTACAGATGCGCGCGCATCTTAAAATTTCACTCTCAACAATTTTTCAGAACGCGCCTAAAGAAGTATAACTTCAAAATTACCGTCACATTTTTCGGTTACGCGTCACATTTTTCCGTTACGCGCCATCTTTTTTTATATTAATAGTTGATAGCTGAATGATCACACTGTCGCCGGCGAGAACTCTCTCTACTCGTTTGTAGCTGAGTGACAATAGTTATTAAAGATAAGACTCGCTCAGCCAAACTCGCATAGCGATACTCGCTCAGCGGTACTCGCTCAGCGATACTCGCCCAGAGATTCTCGCTCAGCGATACTAGCTCAGCGATACTAGCTCAGCGATACTCGCTCAGCTATACTCGCTCGGTTAAGCTGGCTTGGCTGTCAAAAGCCGTGCGCGTGCATTTTAACTCAGGACTGCCAATTCGTTTCTAGTTTCTACTCGCTTATCGTTCATCGTCGGAGGTGGAACATGTGCCTTAGATTACTGAGCCGTGTAATCATAACAGTTTCATAGGCAGTAATTTGTATTCATGTCTATGATAATAAAATCCTTTTGTTTTAACTTTATCTAATTTAACTTTATTTAACCAATTTCTGGAAAGTTGCATGTAGATCATTTTTCAAAAAATAAGGCCATAAAGAAGTTTCACTTCTTACGTGTGTACACTAGTACACGCACACATTTTTTTTATTTTTTAAGCATTTAACTGCTAGATGTGTATTTCTAAAGAAAAGTTTACTAGAAAAAAAAAATTTTCCTTGTTTATTACTAGGGGGGAGGGAGGCATGGTTTTTTATAACAATCTTACATTAGAGCATCGGACTACTTAACTTTGGACTAACGTAATTCAATTTATTTTTTATTTTCCTTTTCGCCCAAAAGATACGAAAATCTACCAGCACTCCATAATCCAGTAGGAATTAACACAATCGCGTTTGTGGCTGTGGCGTGTGGCCCGTGTGCGGCGACACTAAATTCATCCCACGATCTTTTTCGTCCAAAAAACTACCAGGACTGTATAATCCATAAGCAGTTAACGATGTAAAAGATTAGTAGCATAATCCAAAGTAAGACACCACTGAGAAAAGTACCAGGGCATCATAACGCTGCGGGAGGCGGGGGTTGATAAATGAAAGTCTTGAGGTAAAGTATTCCGTAAAGGCCTATATTATGTGTGTTGTGTGTGTGGTCCGGTCGCGCGTCAGTGCGTGCCGGGCGGCGTCTTGGCGGGCGAGGCGGGCGGCGGCGCGCTCCACTCGACGCCGTCGCCCTCGTACTGCGTGTTCTCCAGTCGCGTCATATATAAAACTAGATCTTTATATGAAAGAGAAGACTCAGATGGTGGCGCGATATTGAACTAATTCCTTCTTTAAGCTAGAGAAAGACTACATTGTAGATTCTCTTATTATAAGCTCACACAGCCTCACACACACATTAATAAACGAAAAATAAGCTTGGAATAGTTACTCAATGTATGTCTCTGTTCATTGAATGACAACTGGCATTTGAGTGATATAGACGGTGTAATTATTCTAAGTATAGACAAAACACGGTGTAACTAGTGTAAGCTTATTCGAGCATCAGACTACTTACTTAACTTTGGACTAACGTTATTCCATTTATTTTTTATTCTCCTTTTTCGACCAAAAGATACGAAAATCTACCAGGACTCCATAATCCATTAGGAATTAACACCACAATCTCAAAACTTGGATCCGATTTGTATGAAAGCTGCGGAGAAAAGTACCAGGGCATCATGGAGGCGGGGGGTTGATAAATGAAAGTCTTGGGGTAAAGTATTCCGTAAAGGCCTATATTATGTGTGTGTTGTGTGTGTGGTCCGGTCGCGCGTCAGTGCGTGCCGGGCGGCGTCTTGGCGGGCGAGGCGGGCGGCGGCGCGCTCCACTCGACGCCGTCGCCCTCGTACTGCGTGTTCTCCAGTCGCGTGATCAACCGCTCGTCCTCGTCGCCGAACTCGCCGCCCATTAGAGACGGCTCGCCGACTACCATCACGTCCTGTGTGCGCAAAAATTAAGAAATTAATCAAAACTATACTTATAATTTTGATATTTAAGGAAAAATGGCGTGTGAAGTATTTTTTATTAGACTTCGAAAGAATGTTTACAAGCACCACATAGTCAACGGGTTTGCCGCTATCTAACGTTCAGATGAACTTTCGTTAATATTTCCGCCACCTTTGCTACATAAATTATAGGTGCAGCTCCCTAGCCCTTTGTCAGGACATTTCGATAAAAGTCTGGACATTTTAGTACCAAAATGCAAACATTACCCACTTGGTTACAGTGATATTATACGCGTGGGAGTCACGTTGTTGATCTTTAAGAAGATTTATATTTTGTTTTAAATTAACGAAAACTTAATAAAGATTATTTGATATAACTTAATAAGTAGATTTACTCATATTCCATCTTATTAAAAAAAATCCGGACAAAAGGCAAAAAGTCCGGACAAATCTGGACGGATGGTAACCCTAGGTGCAGCAGTTATCCTCCCTTATATGGAAAGTTCGCAGCTTTAATGAAAACTACCATCGCTTAAACGCGTGTGTACTAATGTCCTCTGATCACTCGTTTGAGTGTACGCGCTCTCTCTGCGTTCAATCTATGCTACGAAAGGCTCAGTGAACTATTTAAGAGCCACTCTTAGTAATTGCATTTGCACCAATTTACAGATCGATGTAATATAATTATACAGACTTCAGAAAGGCATTTGACAGAGTAGGTATCTCATAACACTGTCAAGCAAGCTTCCAACTTTAGGTGTTGATAATGTATTGCTCAAGCGGGTTAAGTCCTATTTAGAGAATCGCCGGTTTATGTCGCCATCAAGCGGTTTAAAATCATAAGAATAAAGAATATATTCAGAGCTGCCTCAGGGATCTCATTTGGGTCCAATTTTGTTCAATGATTTTATTAATGATATGTCGAGATGTTTTTTGAACTTCACCTCATTTTTATTTGTGGACGATATAAAATTTGCGAATGATAGGAACCAAACCACAACTATTCAAAATAAAGTTCTGTATGAGCTATGGCAGGACAAAGAGCCAAGATTACGTATTTGCGAATCATAAGTAGCATCTGCTATGCACATCCAAAGTAATAGAAAGAGGCTGAATACTAGATGAATGACTATTGAGTTTTTTTTTTCTGAACTCATATTCAGTTTTAGGTTCACTAGTGACTGTTAATAACGGTTTTATTAAGTTCAAAGCTTAGAAAGGTTGACCGGTTGACAGCTGTTGTTACCGGACAATTAAGATGACAACCGCTTGTTTATCCGACTCAATACCAGAAGATCTTATAAGTTTTTCAGTTCCTAAGTCGAATTTGTTATAATATAAGAGGCGTTATATACAAATAGGTTTTTTACTCAATAAATACCTACTCTGTCATGGTTTGAAACATAAAATTATGTAAAAACCGGGGCTGACAACTGGCTGCTTATACGAATCATTACCAAAAGGTCTTACATAGTTTTTACAGTTCCAGATTCCAAATTGTTATTATATATACGTGCCGCTATATAAAAAAGGGTATATTTTTTTCTATATAATTACATTAAATAAATCTTCAGTCCACAAAGGATCGTCTCAGTAAGTACAGATTCATTATGCCATCACAAAATGCATCCTTATTCGTATCATCATCTCGTATCGTGTATAATTACTGCAACATCACGAACGTTAAAGTGCTCATATGTTTGGCAACCCAGCGCGGTGCGGTGCGCCCGCGACAACACAGATCGTGGGACAGCGCCTTCAGAGTCCCAATGTTTTACATATACCAAAGTCATTCGTTAGTTAATGCTTTAATAGGCTTACATTGAGGAGCTAAATTGCGTGGGTAGTTAGCGCGTTCAGCTGCGATCGTTGAAGTTAAGCAACTTTCGCAGTGGTCGGTCATTGGATGGGTGACCAAAAATCTTCTATCTCGAGTTCCTCCGTGCTTCGGAAGGCACGTTAAGCCGTCGGTCCCGGCTGCATCTGCAGTCGTTTGCACCCGCTAATCCGCACTCCCACGTGGTGGGTCATGGCCCAATCTCCCTATTCCATCCATAGGGAAGGCCTTTGCCCCAGCAGTGGCGACATTAATAGGCTGATGATGATTCGTTAATACGTAAAGGTAATTACTATTTTTTTTAATGTGTATGCTGTTGGTCGCAGATGACCTTTACAGCGTCACCGGGTTTGGGGACGGCGAGATCCTAAGGGGACCTCAAGCCGAGAATTGGCGAGTGCCTCTAGAGCCTAGGTTCCGAACCTGGGGGTAATTACCCCTCCGGGGGTAAATCAGCCATACTTCGGGGGTAACAAAGAACCTAATTATTTAGTCAAATCTAAATAATAAGTAAATACTATATAATAATACTTCTAAATGCGCTCCTTCTTGCTAGCGAGCCCGCGGGGTGCTGCTGAGTGTGGGAAGCGGGGCGAGATTATCTCCTGATGATGACATTATTAGAGACGAAGATATAGCGGCCAAATTGGAATTTCTTTGACTGATGATAACAATCTAAAGTCGGGGTAAAATCTGTTTTCCTAATAGGTTACAGGGGTAGCAGTATTGGAAAGGTTAGGAAATACTGCTCTAGAGGTATTCCAGACGGATGGCGTCTCCCCACGGGGGGAGTCTCCTCTCCGTCTGGAGCCTCTAGACCACTCGAACCTAAGGGGGAATTACTAATTACCTGTGAGGCAAGGCTGAAGTTAGGTCCGGGTGATCGCTTCTTGGCGGGCGCGGGGGGCGCGGCGTTGGCGCCGGCGCTGCCTTTGCGCTTGCGCCGTTTACTCGCCGGCCGCTGTGATTCTGTAACAACGATAATCACTACATAGTATAATCTCTTATCTATTAGACAAGTCCGTCCGTCCGTCTGTCTGTGGTGCTGTTTCAGCGGCCAAACCGTAAGAGATAGATAAAGAGAATATTTAAGTTATAAGTTAAGAATAGTCTGATAAGACTACAAACCGGATTTGAGTAACGTAGCACTTCCGGTTTTCGAGAAATCACGAATTTCATTATGTTTTATATCTGTATATATGTTAGACTTTAAGGTATGTATCTATGGCCCTACGTTGCCTGACTGTAAATTCAAAATAAAAATAAAAAAAAAATAAAGCAAAGTCACTTCCTGCTGTCTGTCCCTATGTCCCTATGTATGCTTAAATCTTTAAAACTACTCAACGGATTTTGATGCGGTGTTTTTTAACAGATAGAGTGATACAAGAGGAATCTTTATATGTATAATACATGGCTGCCTATTGTTATTAGGTATTAGAAGAATGTCATTGTGTATAATACAAGCCTGAGAAGAAAAACTAAAGTCCGCGCCACTACTCAAGTCCGACGGCGAAACGTCGAACTAAATGTGACAGCTCCGCCATGTTGTCGTTTGTCAGGTGTGTGCGTTGCGAGTGTTGTTTGTAGATTTGAGTTGTTTTTTATTGGAAGGAGATTGATTATGGAGCGTAAAGTGATAAGAAGTGCAGCCAGAGAAGTAATTCTTAAGGTGAAACAGTTTTGTGAGCTGGAGAAGAAAAATAACAATGTTTTGATCCCTTTACAAAATGTTCAAATGCGAGTCGCTGCCATGACAGGTAAATTTTAGGGTTGTAAGGTCATTGATGTTTACCTCATTTTATGGAGTAACATTTTCTGTTAGGCTTGTGTCATGTTTAAATAATTTATACAAAAAAAATGTTTGTGTTGCATTTTATTGTAGTTTTATATTCATTAACTTCAATTTATAATTAAAGTAGTCAGTTTTCACCTTTTTTCGGTTGCGAGTACAATATATTGTTTAATGATGAATCAATTAATAATAGTTTAAACTGGTTTCTTTGTGATTTTAGGTGTGTCTGTTAAAACGGTGTCAAGAATCACTAAAGAAGGAAAAACTGCAATGGCAACATCAAATAAAATTGTTACTCCTGGAAAAAGTCGTCCACAAGCTAAGAAAATTGATTTGGATGACTTTGATTTGTGTTGCATACGCCAAAAAATTCATTTTTTCTATGTTGTGAAAAAAGAATTGCCTACTGTTAATAAACTGCGTTTGGAATTAAAAAGGGATATAAATTTTCAAGGGAGTAATACAACTTTACGAAGAATATTGAAACTGTTAGGTTTTCGATTCAAACGTTGTCAATCTAAACGCAAAGTGTTGATGGAGCGACATGATATTACTGCTTGGCGCGCCAGGTACATTGAAAGAATGAGGAAAAATAGGCTAGTTGACAAAAGGCCTGTGGTGTACTTAGATGAAACTTACATTCATCCGACATATCACGCTAAAAGCTGTGGGCAAAGCAACAAAGAAGATGGATTATTGAAATCAGAATCAGCTGGAAAACGTTTTATAATTGCACATGCGGGTACTAAGAGCGGATTTGTAAAAAATGCGTTATTAATGTTTAGGTCACAATCAAAATCTGCAGATTATCACGACGATATGAACGCTACAAACTTTTTGAAATGGATGACTGAAAAAGTGGTACCAAATCTGCCTGAAAAATCTCTTGTGGTAATGGATAATGCTCCGTATCATTGCACTCAGATAAACAAAGCTCCTACGATGTCAAGCTCAAAATCACATATGCAGGAGTGGTTACGACAAAAACAAATTTATTTTAAAGAGAGATGGACTAAACCAGTGTTATATGATATCATTAAAAGAATCAAAGAACCACCGCTCTTTGCAGTTGATGAACTACTGAAACAACACAATCACGAAGTGGTAAAATTACCTCCTTACCACTGTGACCTAAATCCTATCGAAAAAATTTGGAGTTTGGTAAAGAGACGCGTTGCTGATAAAAATGTTGCTCAAGATCCAAAAAGAATAATAGAATTGACAGAAGCTGCTTTTGCTAGTGTTACGCCAGAAGACTGGAGCGTTCAGTGTAACCACGTGGAACATCTTGAAGATGAGTACTTTAAAAATGACGGACTAGTTGATGTGGAAATGGAGAGATTCATAATATCAACAGAGAGTGATAGTGATACTGAATCTGATGATTCCACCGAGGAAGAATTGAGCAACAGTGATTGCGATATATCTGGCGTAAAAGAATTGTATCATGATGACCACAATTATTGCATTAAATTATATTAAACTTTATAATATTGTTTTATTGATAAATATTCTTTGTGTCATTATTTGAGTTACAAAAAATATTTAATTCCGATGAATAAAAATAATTTTGAAGTAATGAGATGTGGGAGAAAATTTCTTCCTACTGGCCACATTTTGTTACAAGACAGAGGCGCCGCGTCTATCGGACATGAGTCGTGGCGTGGACTCTATAGCGAACCGAAGCGAGGGCGGGCCACTATAATCTATAATATAAAAATGAATAGCTGAATGTGTTGCTAAGCGCAAATCTCGAGAACAGCTGAACCTATTTCGATAATTCTTTTTTTAGAATATTCATTGAAGTATGAGGATAGTTCTTACGCAGGGAAAAATTATAAAAAAATGCCTGAAAAAGTCCAAAAACAACACTTTTCTACACTCCCACACAAACGATTCGTAATAATACTTAAAAGTCAATTTGAACTTTAATACCATACCATACATTTCAAATGTTAGTGGAGAGGTTCCGGGAAGGCAAAACAGTTGAGTGCAAATATACCATTTTCAGTTTTTTTTTATAATTGTATGAAGAGGCATTTTAGTCTACACTACAGCTCTACATCGAAGAGAAGCGAGGGCGGGCCACTAGTTATTAAATAAAAACAAGTTTTAATGGTATAGATCATTGATTTTCAAAGTGGGGGGCGCGCCCCACTAGGGAGGCGTGAAGACATGAACAGGGGGGCGCGGACACGGGGGTGGCGGTCTCACTCCGGATGCCCGCGAATTTCCGCGCCGTACGCGCCTTGCGAGAACACGTGTGCACTTGATGCAAAAACAAACAAGCGACGTGCTATTATTGTGATAATTTTATTTATCGATTAGCAACCGATCCCTTTCACGTTAACATAGAAATGCTGCCAGATACATGATTGATCTAAGTATTTAATTTTACAATTGCTTGGCGAACCCACTTGCTACTACTTGCTGGGCCCTGAGCATAGGGGAGGCGTAGGAACATTCATTTAAGCAGTAGGGAGGCGTGATACTTATAAGTTTGGGAACATCTGGTATAGATGCACTGGTTTATGTAATAACTAGCTGTCCCAGCGAACTTCGTACCACCGCCACCAAAAAAAATAGGGGTTAGTGGTAGAAGGGTGAAAATTTAGGGTTGTAAGTATTTGTGTATGATGTATCATAAAAAAATAAAAACATTTTTTTTTGCATAAAAAAACGGTGGACCACTCTTAACATTTAGGGGGCTGAAAAATAGATTTTGTGCGATTCTCAGTCCTACTCAATATGCATATAAAATTTCACGAAGAAAGTAAAAGAAGGAGTAGTTCCATTACGCACACCGTGACACGAAAATTTTATAAATTAGATAATAAATATTTTCAACACTTACACCAATTAGCATAGCCAAAGTAAGCACTGTAAAGCTTGTGTTAAGGGATACTAGGGTAACGGATAGAATACATATAATGTACATATATGAGTATACTTATATTGAAATAAATATCGAGGAGCTCGATGGCGCAGGCGGTTAGCGCGTTCGGCTGTGATCGTTGTAGTTAAGCAACTTTCGCAGTGGTCGGTAATTGGATGGGTGACCAAAAATTTATATCTCGAGTTCCTCCGTGCTTCGGAAAGCACGTTAAGCCGTTGGTCCCGGTTGCATCTGCAGTCGTTAGCACCCGCCAATCCGCACTGGGCCCGCGTGGTGGGTCATGGCCCAATCTCCCTATTCCATCCATAGGGAAGGCCTGTGCCTCAGCAGTGGGGACATTAAGAGGCTGATGATGATGATGATGAGATACTAAACATCTATACTACATACTGGAGTACAAATACTCGTATTCATCACACAAACATCTGCCCCCACCAGGATTCGAACCCGGGACCTCTCGAGTCACGCGATACCATGAAACCCGACGTACAAACCACTCGGCCACGGAGGTCGTCACTATATGTGTGTAATGGCGACGTATCGCATTATTTTCAGGCTGCGTCGTGAAAAGAATGCGAAACGTCATAAATAAATAAATGAGAGCATCTATCTATACCAGTAATTCCCAAAGTGGTCTATATCGACCCCTAGGGGTCTATGACAACCTGCAAGGGGTCTACGTCAGCGAAAAAAAATCAATATCAGGTAAGTAGGGGGTCTACCCAACACGGAAAAAACATGGCAAGGGGTCTACGACACAAAAAAGTTTGGGGAACTCTGATCTAACCCGTTGAAACTTGTATTATTTAATAAGTGGTGTGCGTGAAAACCTAAGAAACAAAAACGATAATCATAATATGAGTGCCACTAAATCCTTGAAATATTTAATCTTACAGCTAGGCTAACATATCTATACATCTAAAGAAAAGTTTTACTAGAAAAAAAATCCACGCGGACCAGGCAGCGGACGGGACTCGAACCCGCACCCTTCGCAATCCGGGCGAATGCACTGACCAATTATGCTACATCTTTTTTAATGTAATATAAATTGTCATGTTTGTGTACGATAGCGCAATTATATATATTGTATTCTACCACATAAATGATAATACTTTTATACTGATAATTAAAGCAATTCGTGCAAAATTATTCCCTAACATTTGAAAACTTTAGACAGTCTGAAATAACAAAATAAAATCGTAAGCGATAGCCATAGCAATACCGTAGGCAATAACCCCCCTGAAACAGCTACGATCCGCAAACTGAAACAGCGTGGAACGATTTCCGTATAAAAAGTACCAGGTCGTCATAACTCACCAGGGGGTGCGACCATCCGCTGCCACTTCTGGAACAGCGTGGTCTTGAGGCAGTCGCGCGGCGAGAGCGCGTACGCCTTGTGTCGGGACATCAGTTCTTGCATTGGTTCTAGGATCACGCATAACTGGAATAAAAAGGAGAAAAAAAAACACCTTAATGTCTACAATCAAGTTATTGAAACGTATTCCGTAAAGAATAACCGTGTAGGGGTAAATAATAATCATCATCATCATTTCAGCCGAAAGACGTCCACTGTTGGACATAGGCCGGTCGGTCGGTCCCATGCTGCCCGCATCCAGCGGCTTCCCGCGACCTTTACCAGATCGTCGGTCCACCTTGTGGGGGGCCTGCCAACACTGCGTTTCCCGGTACGCGGTCGCCACTCGAGGACCTTTCCGCCCCAACGGCCATCGGTCCTGCGAGCAATGTGCCCTGCCCATTGCCACTTAAGGTTTGCAATTCTGTGGGCTATGTCGGTGACTTTAGTTCTCTTGCGTATCTCCTCATTTCTGATTCGATCACGCAGAAATAATAATAATATAATAATTAAATTTATTAATTATTATTATTATATAATTATAATTTAATAACATAATAATCATTTAATTCGGACAAGGATACATCCATATATTGTGGTAACTTACATGATTGATTACTTATTATCTAGTGTTGGTATCTACATTAAATTACTTACATACTAAGCTTGTGCCCGTTATGCACTTTTGGATACAATAAGCAATAATAGGTAGTGCCGTCTTTGACCTATTGGAGGCCCTGGGCATATTAGGATAATGGGGCCCCTATGAATTCCGTTTGGTGATTTAACAGGAACTAGGGACTTTGTATTTGATCTGAGGGGGCCCCCTATCGATCGCGGGGCCACTGGGAAAGACGGGTCTGATAATAGGGGAATCATATCGCCCCCATATAACTTGCAGAATGGAATTGGAGCTGAAAACAATTTTTCTTAAGAAAAAACATACTTGCAGCCCCAAAACCGAAAAACATTGTCTTGTCTTGCCCTATAAAAATGTGAATCCCCTGGCGCGTAATGTTCTCGGCTAGTTGCTCGAGGGCCGCATGGTCGGGGGGAAGCATCGTCTGTCTGATGATCAGTTCCCGGTAGGAACATACAAACAAAGCGGATCCGAGCACAGTACCTAGTGTAATACTCTTTAGTTTCATTATTAAGGAAAATGGTGAAGAAGTATGCATCACGCCTCCTCCTTGAAACGGTTCCCTCATTTCTGTAGGTCGTGGTCATCGGTATGGAACAGTTTTTTGGTGATGCGACACCAGCTGTTTCACTTATCTATAAATATAAAAATCAATTGCTGTCCGTTAGTCTCGCTAAAACTCGAGAACGGCTGATCTGATTAATCCTATCTTGGTCTTGAAATGTTCGTGGAGGTCTAGAGGGAAGGTTTCAAAAGAGAGAAAATATGGAAAAATTGCGAGGAAGATAGTAAAAACGTCATATTAATATTCCCATGTAAACTGTTCTATCTTCTTTCCTGTCAAACATTTGACGTTCGTCCCTTTTGGTACGGTAGACACGGGTCCGTCATTTCCTCCAAATTATTTTAACCCGTACGAAGTAAACGGTGTCAACTAGTAACTTATAAAATAAGGTGCTCACCCTCAAGTAATTGAGCGTTGCGTTGGTGATCCCCTGGCGCGTGATGTTCTTGGCTAGTTGGTCGAGCGCCGCGTGATCGGGAGGATGGACTATCTGGGGATCAGCTACTTCGCATTTTGTTCTTAGGCTTCACTATTATGCTAATAAATTCACATGAATAAAGTGCTCACCCTCAAGTAATTGAGCGTTGCGTTGGTGATCCCCTGGCGCGTGATATTCTTGGCTAGTTGGTCGAGCGCCGCGTGGTCGGGGGGATGCACCGCCTGTCTGGGGATCAGTTCCCGATGGGCGCGCACCGCCATATGCCACGACTTGATCCGCATCAGGTCGTCGAATGTGAACTCGAGGATTAGCCGGCCTTCTGTACACACCTGGAGGGAGATTGGGAAGTTTAGTTTGTGCACGGACACGTTCGGAATTTACTGTTTTTTTTTTCAATAATTCTATAAACATTAGGCCAAACGATAATTTAATTATGTCCGTGATAGGACAGGTCCGTATTTTCAATGGCATATGACAGAACTACACTTATCTGTCATGTTGTCAGATCAGATAAGTCAGAGAGGTATCGGTTTCGTACATTTAATACGGTTAGTGTGAGAACGCTGTCGACACTTTGCGACATGTAAGTATATCTCTTTTTTTTAGGCAGAATTTTATTAGGCAGAAATTGTCGCTGGCAAAGTTTATGTTAAAAATAATACATAATTATAATGATTATCTTTTTAAAAAAAAATGCCTTGAATATAATCGTTTAACCCTACATAGCTAACCTTCTGGTGTACCCTGTTTAAGCTAACCATGCCTCGAAATGTAATGACCTTACTTATTTATTAATACAATTATAAGAACTTTTCTTAGACCTCTAAAGAAATAGGTTTTTTTAATATTACCGTTTTGGCATGCAAAATCAACGATAAATCAAAATAAAACCATAAGCTTTTTGGTTCATATGGCACGTAGAAACATAAAAAGTAATTAAAACATAAAAAAAAATACCCATTTTTTTAACAGCGAAAGCCGCAGAGCTCAGTCTACTTGATAAGGCATCAATATGAGGATCCCATTGCAGATGCGAGTCTAAAGTAATACCCAGAAACTTTGTAGAATCCACTAACTCTACAGGCTTATGTAGGCGCGTGAGAAGTTATCCTTCTTTGGCATCGTTTAAAATTAGTTTTTAATTGCATGCAAATAATTAATTACAATAAATTAATAAAAAGTCTGGAAAAGGACACAGTCAATAAAGTTCAGTTTTAATTTGAAAAAATAAATAAATAATCAAAATATTCAATTAAAATCGCTACTGAATATAATTTATTAGAACATATGTGATTTGCACTTGTATGAAACTCAAACACGTATTCCGAATATACAAACTAGAAACATGTGGATAAATATTATAAATATGAATACCTATAACTGTTACTTTATTACAAAAAATAAAGATGTGGTTTTTGGTTCTACTACACCAATGGTCAAGAGATGGCGCTGTAGTCTCCTGAATCGCGCTTTGGTTCCGTTGTTCCAGATTAATAAATACTTTTGATAGGCCTTCACAATGCAGTCGTTAGCACCCACTAAATAGAGATTCTATTTCTATTTTGTTGGTAGATTTTCTTAATGTGCGGTAAACACAAAAGTAACGCATGAAGTTGGTCGCTAAAGCGACCAACTTCATGCTGTTAAAATTTTGTGTTACAGTGATGCGCGCGCATCTTAAAATTTCACTCTCATCATTTTTTCATAACGCGCCTAAAGAAGTATAACTTCAAAAATGTATGTCTCTCTACCGCAAGTGACCTAAAAATCAACTTTTATGTTTAACATATCGCAATGTAACATATGGCTTCGATGACACGGGGCCCGAACTATTATGGATTTGCTACTTAGACATTAGAGACACCCGGACTACCAGGCTAACATAACAACGAGAAGATTACTGTTCACGTGATCGATACTCCTCTAACGTAAAAGAAAATATTTTTATCAAATGACGACGCAAGACGTTCTGTCCCTCTCACATTTTCGTCTTTAGTTTGACAGCATGTGCGAGAGAGATAGAATGTCTTATTATATGTCGTCATTTACGTTTTTTATATTCGTCATATTCGTTTCTCTATTGGCTACCAGGCTACCAGAGGGCCATTCGCCTAACGGAAATGCTTTGGAAAACGCTAACGCTTTCGATTTTATTTTGTTATTTCTGATCACCGCAGGTTTTCAAATACCTCATGCTCATTTTTTTTAATATTGTTATTACCAATACAAAAGAAAGAAGCGCGAGGCATTTGAAAACCTCAAGCGGCTAGAAATAACAAAATGAAATCGTAAGCGTTAAGCCAGAAACATATTAACGTGTCGTGGCGCGGCAGAAGCACATCGGTTTCATACATATGGTTAGAGACATATTTACGTATCGTGTCGTGTCGACGCTTTAACCTCTCTATCTCTCTCTAACCCATAATAAATGTATGAAACCGATGCGCCACGTCACGCCACGACACGTTAATATGTTTCTGGCTTTTAGCGTTTTCCATAGCATTTCCGTTAGGCGAATGGCCCCCAGAACGGACTAGGAACTTACTTCGGTGAACATCGGCTTGCCGTGGTGTGTCACCATCGTACAGTGGCCGCAGTCGAGCATTATGCTCGTGTTGTCGTCCTAACCTAACCTAACAAATCCGGTGCACATACGCCTAATACAAAGACCTCAGATAAAGACTTCCCCAGGTCTCCAGGTTATAAAGTTTCTTTCATGAAAACATCTACTTATCAAGGCTTCTGTACTATTTTATTAGCCTTCTTTCAGATTTTCAATCCACCCACACCTTTTCATCAGCACTTAGCAATTTTTTGTCTTACAATGTTAATCTATAGTTAAACTTCTTCATGTTAAAGTCAACTTTAATCCTCACTAAAAAACGATTTATAATCCCCTTACGGCTTAGATTAAAACAAAAAGGGAAAATAGGCATTCGCGGCTCAAAAGTGATCCGCTTAAATTGTGGTCCATGACCATAATTCGCTTTAGTCACAATTTGACATTCAAACACGCTGCATGTACACTCAATATAACAATATTGCGTATATTCTGTGTTATGAAGATATAACAATGCCTTCGATGATTTTATAAAGAACACAAATAGTTCAAAATCAAATGCCCCAGCAACACTTTTCATTCGTAAAACTGTGAAAATATTTTTTTATGATTTTTTACGTAATCGCCATTTTGTAAGCAAGAAAAGGACAACAATACGCTGCGTTGCAGCGTTTAGTTCTGTCTCGCTCGCTCGATTGATGTTTATAATACAGACGTGTGCGTGGCGAGAGTTGCTTATGTAGTTGAGTCGGATTTTATTTGATGCTAGTATGAGCGTACCGTATCTACCCTTTTTGTTTTAATCTAAGCCTTACGGACGTGTTTTGCGGTGATAAAACTTACTTAATATGTAGGTAGATATTTTACTAAGTACCGCGCTACCAGGCTACCATAACGGACTAGGAACTTACTTTGGTGAACATCGGCTTGCCGTGGTGCGTCACCATCGTACAGTGATCGCAGTCGAGCGTTATGCTCGTGTTGTGGAAGGACTCTTTGGGCTGTCGCATCGTATAATATAACTCTGACACGCCGCCCTCATATATGCTTCGGAAGTAGCGCGGTATGAGCGTCCTTCCTATCGCTGGAAAGAGATGGCAACACATTATTATTAATAAAAAAAAACAGCGTGTGTACAGAGTATGCATGTCAGAAGTGAAACGAACTTTAATAATAATAATTATATATTAACATAATTTAAAAAACTATTAAAACTAAAAAAACCGTCATATAAAATTTAAGATCGTCGCTCTAAAATCTGACGCTCAAACCGTGACGCGGCCTTGAAAAGCTACCCTCATCGCGCGCAAAGAAGTTTTACTTCAACAATAAAATAAGCCAAATTGAGGAGCTTGATGGCGCAGTGCGTTAGCATGTTTAATCTGCGATAATGTGGAAGTTTAACATCTTTCCCAGTGGATATGGAATAGATGAAAATAGTTATATATGATATTAGTGCGGTAAGTTGGTTGTACAAACGAGTAGACATAGATTAAGTAGAGTTTGTAAGTGCCAATCCGCACGAATGTCATAGACCTACAATGTTTTTCAACACATTTGCGAGAAAACAGTACCTATACCTTATTTATGCAATGAAACAAACATATTCTAATAATTAAATGGCGCCACTGTTGAGTAAGGTCCTGAATTGTAACTTTTAAAGTTAACTAGCGGCCCGCCCTCGCTTCGCTCCGGTGTAGAGCTGAAGTGTAGACTACAGTTTTTGTTCTCAGGATTGTATTATAAACAATGACATTCATCTATGATTCTTCTTATACCTGCATGCAAAGTCTCAGCCCGATCGGTTTAAAATTGACAAAGTTTCATACAAACTTTCATTCCCTATTTTATCCCCTTGGGGGTAGAATTGATCAAAATCCTTTCTTAGCGGATGCCTACGTCATAACATCTACCTGCATGCTAAATTTCAGTCCGATCCGTCCAGTGGTTTGGGCTGTGCGTTGATAGATCACTATGTCAGTCAGTCAGTCAGTTACCTTTGAGTTTTATATATATATATAGATTAATACGCGCGTGAAATCAAAGTTTACATTTAAATCATATATTAATACAAAAGAACCGTATCTATAACATAATCGGCCATGCCACAGTGATGCGCAGTTCCGTTTTGTTCGGAAAAAAGGGAGGACATAATAATTTTTCTTAGCTCCACTTTTTAATAACTGACACTCATTGCCACGTAACTCATATTTGCCATAATTAAGGCGAGTTATTACCAAATATTCACATTATTATTTTAATTAGAAATAATCCTGAATAAACACAACCACCCCACGCTGCGTCGTCCGGAACGTAGTCGCCACTGGAGGACCTTTCTTACCCACAGGTTGTCAGATCCTCGAGCGATATTGTATTGTACCGGACGACGCAGCGTGGGGCGGCCCCCAACAAGGTGGACTGACGACATCGTCAAATGTGCTGGGAGCCGCTGGATGCGGATGGCGCAGGACTGCGCATTGTGGCGTTCTATGGGGGAGGCCTACATCCAGCGGTGGACGGAGAAAAGCTGATGGATGGATGGATGGAAACACAACCAATAACATTTGACATTTCGGAGACCTCATGCTACACTAGCGCCTCTAGCGGCGGATTCATACGCGATAGCTCTCGCGGAAAATCAGCAATGGTACTTTTCTCGTGGTTTTTTCATTATGATTATTCTATTAAATATTATGAGAAACTTACTGTATCTTTTGGGCCCATCTTCTAAACAAAATGTTAGAGTTAACGTCGCATCATCCTCAAAGAATTCTGTCGCGAACGCGTCCCACCACAAGTTATCTGAGTCCTGGAAACGAAAAGAATTTCACGTAACAAATGAAATGAAGAAAATAACCCGCAAATATCAAAATGTATGAAAAGAAATTGAACAGCTTGCCAACAAGGGTTTTGACAAACACTGTTTGCAGATATAAATAAAACGCATTTATGAACCATTTTTATTCAAAATAATTAGATACATAGTTTGAATAAAAAAATTTAGTTTAAAGAAAATATTTTAGTCCTTTAAAGCGACCTCTACCGAAGTCGTGGAGTACTACAAACAATGGTGAAAGCATCCTTATGTCACTGTTCAAGCGTTAATACGAAACTACTCACTAGAGGTCGTTCCATGATGTTTTCTTTTACGACCTTGTTTTTACTTATTTTTCAGAAATTGATTTTTTCCTATAATTATTCAAGCAAATTATTGTAAGTTACGAAGTTTTAAGGTATGGCTGATGTTTTTTTTTAATATAATTGCTAGAATAGCTCGTAGCATGCGAATTATCTACAAAATAATATAAAAAAAATTGTGACGAAACCCAGACTTCCCGTACAAACTTTCACGCACCTTTGCACCCCCAAGAGTTATCTCCAGGATACAAACTACGCTATGTCCTTCCTCGGATTACAAGCTACATCTTTACGAAATTTCATCATAACCGGTTCAGCGGCTTAATCGTGAAGAGGTACTTAACAGACAGACACACTCGCATTTGTAATAATAGTATGGATAAAAAAAAATATACAAACCTCTGTCCTCTGTTGTAACCGCTTATTGAGTTCATATACTCTGTAATCTGGCTGTCCGAAGTAAGGCGCGTGCCGCCTGAAATCAAGGAAAATAAATAAAATTATTATGTATGTCAAGTAAGCAAGGGCCATATGTACGACTACTGAGCCATTCGTGTGCGTGTCCGACTCGCATTTGGATGGTTTTTTATACATCTATGCGTGTTACAATTTAAAACAGGTCTTAACAGGTAGGATATAGCGGATTGTCCGCTGGATTAGGAGCACCAACCTGGGGAAATAACCTCCAGCTCACTTAAGACCACAGTAACATAACACTACCTATCGGCAAGGCTGTAGCTTGAGTCGAATTTGAGGTAGGGTAGCATTGGTTACAGGTAGGGCGGAAGTAAAAATAAATATCATAATTGATCTGCCCTCGGAGCACGAGCCTTCTAAATGACCTCGAGGTCAATGATGTACATTCAATAGCTATTCGTAGACAAATAATTTCTGTGACAGAACATGAGCACGGATCTAAGAACTAATAAATTCTTAATGATGAAGAACAAGCGAACAAGATGGTTGAACTTCCAGATTTGGGTGTAGATGACGTCTGAGTGAGAGTGAGGTAATAATTTATTGTTTAGCGGGGTGATACGAATAAATAGATACGACCAACAATACTATTTAGATCATATTGTTTTTGCAAACTTATTACAATAATTAATGTAATAATAAAATATATTTAAAACAGCTGAATTCATCGATTCGCCATATTATTAAAAATGCGAAGAATTTCGTTCAGATCAACTAATTTTGTTATTTTTTTTTTTCAAAGGCCGGAAATATAATACCCGCCATTCTCTCGTGACCCATTGACAATCTTTGAGGCCTATTAATTGCAGTAAAAGTTGAAAACGTATTGATAGAAATAACAATTGTATAGATTTTTGAGTAAAACTCTCTTTACGATACACTTCACTTAACCAAACTACAACTTATCATAATCAATCTTTAGTTACAACTTATAGGTGACAGACTGCAGTTGGGTTTATATTTTTTTATATTTTGACCAAGCAGGTCCGTTAGTATTTTCCATGTATTTTGATAAATATAAGACTATAAGACTCTAGCAACTACACTCGTAAAGACTTTTACGGGATCAAAAGGCTGCATTATTTTAACGCCATCTATCAATTTTTCTGAAACTATTATGTTAGGTACTTAAAAATTGATTCAAGCACCTCATTCGTAAATCAGCAATCATTCACTCACAGATTCCCGCGCTTTGCAAAATATTTAAAAAACGATTTTAAAAATGCTACTAATATTACGTTTTGAAATATTGTTTATCAACTAAATGCTTTAAATTTTCAATATTTGTAAAAATTGCTTACTTATTATCTATCGCGAAAATCAATGATGAATATGTATAGTGCCAGTGATTTCTATAGAAGGAATTACCTTAAAAAATAATTAACTTCAATATGGACTCAAACGGATTTCAATTGATTTTAGGTAATTCACCGAAGTTATTGACTACAATTACTACAAATTATAGTAACAGTTAGGAAAGTATAGAGGGAACTTTAACTTTGCGCGGGACTTTAGCTGGGGCCAGGGGGCAAATCGCCTAACAGGATTGTTATGACTATCGCTATCGCTTACGATTTCATTTTGATATTTCTGACCGCCGCGGGAGGTTTTGAAATGGCTCGCGCTCTTTTTTATACTTTCGCATTGGTAATAACAATATTAAAGAAATTGAGAGTGATGGTAGTAGAAAACCTTCGACGGTCAAAAATAATAAAATGAAATCGTAAGCGATAGCGATAGCTATAAGTGCCATAACTATCCCGTTAGGCGATTGGCCCCCTGGGACTAGGGTTACCATCCTTCCGGACTTTTTTTCCTTAGTCCGGATTTTTTTAATTGGATAGAATATGAGTAAAACTACTTATTAAGTTATATCAAATAAGTCAAATAATATTTATTAAGTTCTCATTAATTTAAAACAAAATATAAATCATCTTTAAAAATCAACAACGAGACCTCCCCGCGTCTGCTACCACGCGTATAATATCACTGTAACTACACTTAGTATAATATCACTGTAACATCACCCACTGGTGATGTTTGCATTTTGTGACTAAAATGTCCGGACTTTTATCAGAATGTCCGGCTTTTTGTCAGGACTTTTCAAATTTTTAAATAGTAACCCTACCTGGGACGTATTCTGTTACCTTTTCTTTGGAACCTCAAAATAAATTCAAATGTGACAACATACTTAATTCAGTATAAGGTTCATTATATATTTATAGAAAAACTTATTGTTCTCGCTATCCTGCGAAAACTTTAGTAAAAAACAGTTTGCCGTACCATTAGATTCATGTCCATGTTATTACTTACCTAGACAAATATACGTTTAAAATATCCAAATATGTATAAGATACTCCTGGTTTATTAAATATATTTGTTAGCTTAATTATCAATATTTCATAAAAAAAACATTTTTAGAACTTATGCACAAAAAACAAAAATTGTTGATGTCAGTTCCAAATTTGGAAAGGAGAATGCCCATATTTGGTACAGCTTTGTCTCATGCCTCAAGATAAAATTATTATGATAATTATTTTCTTTAATTTATACGTACGATGGTCTATCAGAATGGCTATTTTGAACAGGGAATATTTTTTAAAATATTATTAGTCATAGTACTGTTTATATTTTGAGCCGGATATCTGACGTTTGTTTATTTATCGTAAAAATAGTGATGCCATAGTACCCTATTAGTTATAGATTATAATCGATTGTTGTTTTTGTTATCGATGAGTGGGCCATCAAAAAGCAAATAAATCACGTGTTACTAATTATTGTTTAATAGTGATTTTACGTTTTAAGACAATAAATGTCTTAACTGTTGCGATGACAACTCGTCATTTATCTATTTCGTCTCTATGCTTAAATCATAGTCAGTAACCCGTCGCTTGGCTTAACTCGACACTTTCCTATCACATCTCTTGCTGTATGTAGTGTATACTTATATTTTCATCTCTATCTATAGAGATAGAGATGAAAATGATAAAATGTCGAGCATGTAGGTAGTCGGACAAAAAGAGGCACGTGTTTACCCAGCGCTTTGTCTTGCCTACGTAGTCAAAAGGCCTTATTCTTGAACGCAAAATACAATGATTGTACATTGGCTTGTGCCGCGTCCTGTTCTACGTCCATAAAAGTATCTAAGTTACAGAGGGACGGACGACAATGACGATAAAGAGAGGCTTGTTAATCTGTGCAGGCATGCTCTTAGGTAAGACGGAACGTGTAGCCGGGGTATTCGAATCTAAGTTTAAAAATTCAACACGTATTAATAATGTTAAAGAAGGTTAATTCCGCGGAAATCTTTAATCGTTGTTTTTATAGAGGGCGCTCACCTAACTCTCGATTTCATCTTATACTAAGTAGTAACTAGTAATTATATTTATTTCTATGCTGTTTATTAATTAATTGAATCTGGATTTATTTGTATCTGACTCGATCTATTCATTGCGTAAAATCGATTATATACTAAATCATTTTTTTTTTGAATTCCATCGATTATTCGTATATTCAATTTCAGATCATCATCACCCTACCCTATTGCAAATGATTGGAGAATTGTCAATTGTTGTTATTCCTATTTTTGTGTTGATTGAGTTTTTTACATAAATTGTGAAGTGATAATGATTGCGTGTGAACGTATCAAACGTTTTTTTTTCTGAGTTGTTAAGACAGGCAAGACGTTTTCAGGAAAAAAACAGTGTATTCACGACAGGACGTTTATTTACCGTATGTGTGTTTGTAGTGTTCTCTACTCACGCATTCTACTTCAAATGAGGAATCGATGACGTTAGACTATTTGACTGGCTAAACCAGTGTATTGTAAAACTGTATTTCCAGGGCCCAAGAGGTGATACTTAATTTTTTTTGTAGAAGAACAGTTTAGCCCTCAACATATTACAGTCATGGATAAATCCTACTCAGGTGAGCTAATATTGTTTGGCTAATGTCATGTGCAACTAACTGTATGAAATATATATTAACTGTTTTGTTTGACTTCTTAAAAAAGTAATAACAGTTCTAGATACTTAGGTTAGGAATCATTTACTATCACAATCTTATGAGAAAACTATTATTACTGTGTATTATTACTGCATATCATACTTAATTACAAATCCAGAACTAAGATGTTTGTAATAGTCATGGTAACATTTAGATTTTATTTTATTTGTTTTTTTTATCACTAGACAGGTGATGATGAGAGAATACAGAAATTCCTTAAAATAAAGAGAAAGGAATTTTCCATATTAATTATTAATTTTTTATTAATGTTATCTTTTTAGATCTCAAGAATGGAACATGTATGTGCTGCATGTTGGAGATTCAACAAGTACAAAGGCAACAACAACATGACTGAAATCGCCTTACTCTTGGAGATACTACATTAAGTGGCAATCATTCTATACCTGTGCCACCTCCTCTGCCACAACCAAGACTAGAAGCAGTTCAACAAGTGACTCTAAAAATTGTATCATCATCATCATACATGCTGCTAACTCTCCTGTGTATTTGCAAATTGTTTAGAGCCTGAATGTCTACTTATTTCATCTACCATCAGGGATCTCTTATTGTATAATAATAAATTGTGCATACCAGCTGGTGCATGTGTTTGTCATCACTATTTGAATTATGGTCCATGGAATGAATTAACATAATTAAGAGATTTTACTGGCATACAGTTTGATAATATAATGATTATGATACAGCGATCAGCCAATTACTAATTAGATTTTTCTAATGTTTCAATTGTCTCCTCATTTATGTCATTATTGACTTGGTATGAACTCTGAACAGTTTTATAATTTGCTCAACTGTATACCAATCTAGCAGATCAAGTGCCAAACGCTTCTATAGCCTTTTGTATTTATTTAGTTAATTAAGAACTGCTGATAACAACAAAAGATTGGCCACTCTTTTCAATAATCCAGCAGCTACATTAGAATGTTGTAAGACAAAAGCTACAAATTGTTTGAATTTCTTTGTTTGTAGATGATA